GAATTGGGGATTTTAGTCTGTCACTCTAAAATATCCAATTCTACGCTCGATAATTTTATTTTCTTATTTATTTGCACCCAACTTCCAAGGGCTTTGACCTTCCTGAATCTTGGATGTAACTTTCACTTTAGTTGTAAAACTCAACATATTTTAACAAATCAATTGACCAGATTGAAAGTAAATTAAGATCGAAGTGAAAAGATCATCACAACTTCTTTAACATTTTCATGGCTCAACCAATTCAAATCACCATTTCACAAATCTCAAGACAAGGAGAAAGATAGAGAAAATTACTCAGAATTCATGGGGAAGACACAACAAAACTCGGAATTCATATATAAATGTAAAGTTATACAACTACAACAAGTAAATGACACTTATATCTAATTTCTCCCCAAGCAAACTCCTCGAAGTTCCTCTGAATATATTCCTTTCTTTACAACACACAAAGTTCCTCTTCAAAGCGGCAAGGCGGCAAGGAGGAAGAAATCAAGAAATCTCTCACTTTCCCTCCACTCTTACAATTTCTCGAAGAATTCCTCACAATTAGACTCTCTACACTTTCCTAACACTTAACTTCCCCTCTCCAGAGCCTCCCAAGCCTAGCTAGAGCCTCCTAATTTTTGGCCAAAATCTTCTTTTAAAGTTGTAGAAGAGTTTTCCCAAGAGTTGCCTAAGCATCCCTCCAAAATTCATCATCATCCAATGCATTGTTGGACATAACCTCCGATCTCGCCGTCGGCGGCCTCAAGGGCGCCGTCGGCGGGCTTTCTAAATCAAATAATTTGGAGTCTCGGGAATTTCTTGCCATCGACGCCCTAGTTCAAATCTTCACATTTTGGTCCTTTTCGCTCCAAATTTGCTCTTTTTGCATCTTTTTACTCCAATGACCCTAATTTATCATTCCTGCAACAAAACTTCAAAAATACCTTTCTTTAAAGTGCAATATCATCAGAAACAGTGTAAAATAGGTATGAAAATCTCAACATATTTTTCTTTGGTCAACAACCCCACTTGATCCTCCTAATCGGGCCTTTTATGCTTCTTCACCAACAATTGCTTCTTATAACTTTCCGAGCGGGAGTTAGTTCCCCATATCATATCCTCAACAGTTCTCTGATAGCTAGCATTGCTGTACTTGTTAGCTTTGCATGGCTTTTTCACCATGCTAGCAATCAAATTGAAGATAGACCAAGTGGAGAAAATTAGAGGAAGATGGGAAAAGTGCGCCCCTCACTCCCTATAGGAATCACAAGCACAAAATTTAAGGAGAGTTCAATGATTACGCTATTAAGTAGTCATAAATAAATTATTGTGTTTTTATCACAGTTGTTGCTTTCAAGAAATAAGAGAATCGGGGGTCGAAATATGTACACAAAAAATTGTCAGCATGAATCTTAAGGCAATTCAACAGTCCAGGAAGGAACGACGTGACAAAGGTGTGTCTGCCAGATAATGACCCAGAGGCCCAGAAGACCAACTGACTTATGCTAGTCAGAGATCACCCAAGTTGATTCAATAGTGTACACCCAAATGATTCATCCCGATGCCAGAGACGGCCAAGGGTTCCCTCAAGGTACCATGAAGTCACGGGCTTTGACCACCTTCAGCTAGATCTCCTCATCCAAAGAGTAAACTACCTGTCGGGTTACGATAACCCACTCTCTGCCCAATAACCTAGTTTTACTCGGCTGAAAAAAAACCCCCAAGAAGGAATTAATGTTTGACAACTGGTTCAACACATCCAGTTGGCTAAATATCAAATGATCGGTTCAGTCCTTTCAAACTTTTTTAGAAATTCAATCGATCGCTCAGACCTGAAGGACCGACCGACCGTTGGTCCTCATTTAGAAGACTGACTGATAACATTGATCAATTCACTTCTTCGATTCCAATTGAGCCAGAGAACGCAAGACCCTGGGCCCGCACTGGGATAATAAATAGATTAGTTTGTACAATCTCAATTAAAGCAAGGTTATAAATATAATCATCCTTGATTGTGTTCCCTCTCCTATAAATAGAGAGGTCTTTTCATGTAAAAAGAGTTTTTGCCTCTCCCTTCTCTCATGTATCATCACATAAGAAGAGACTTTAGGCTCTTGAACCTCTTCATGTACCAAGATTATTTGATTATATAAAAAGGGTCACAAAAGCTTGAAAATACCCTATTTTACCTCAGAAGGGCAAGTCACTTTGCACTCCCATAATCTCTCTCCCTCTCCTTCTCTCTGACTTCAAATGCTCAAATCCTTCGGTATGCCACCCGAACAAATTCTTATTTAATTTTTTAATAGCGGTTTTATTTCTCATCTTGAATTAAGGGATATTTGCATTTCACTTTGCGATAGATTTTAAACAATTCAAGGAAAACTGATATGCCAGCTTCATTTGTGTTGCATATATATATATATGTTACTCATTTTTCGTTTGTAATTTTCTTATATTTTAATTTAATTTAATTTTGGCTTTTACATTAATCCTTTATTTTATTTTATTTTAATTTAAAAATTGTTCAAATAAAAGACCAACTAAATAACCAAACTAGCTTATTGTTTGCTTCAATTCTATTTATAATTTTATCGTTTCAATTTTACCTATTTATAATTCTATTTAATTTTTACATACATACCGACAAATGACCTTCAATAATCCTACCACATGCCCATAATGCCCTCATAACTTTACGAGGACTAGAACTCAACTCAGATTAACTCAGATTAAGATAGAGCAAGTTGCCGGCTCCACAAAAAACTGCAACACTTCACTAACATAGTTTCCCAAGAATAAGAATGAACGTCTACAACTAGAAATTTTACATGAAACAGCAGATCAACACAACAGAAGGGAAGAATAAGAATACACTCACTAGCACATGTACACCCACCCAACTCTAACCAGAGTTAAATTTACACTGGCTCCACCCAACCTTCCTGCTCTTAGTAGTTGCCGGAGAAAACAGCAGAGCAAATTAAAGCCAGAAGCGTTATTCAAATAAACCATGACCAAGTTAAATCATGAGCCCTGCAAAGGTTTTGAGGCCACAAACTTGGCTACGGCTTGATATAATTGCTCTTCGTCGAAGGGTTTGGAGACATAACCATCCATTCCACACTTCATGCACTCCTCATAAGTTGCCTGAATGACATCAGCTGTCATGGCTAGAATTGGGAGGTGACACTGAGGAAGTTCGGTATCGGAGTCGTTAAAATGAGCTCCTCTCAGTCTGGTTTGTTCATTGGCTTCGTTTTCCATCAACCGAATTTGTCGGGTTGCCTCGAATCTGAAAGAGAAGAAGTATAAGAAACTATAATTGCGTTCTTCAAATAAAAATTGAAGGCGAATATAGAAATTGCAATGCTGCTTGGACTAAAAAGCTAAAAATAAACTGCTTTCGAACCAATATATGATGTTTTAACAGTGTAGAGTAAATGAGTAGAAAACAGCATTTTAAAGTAAATAGAATCAATCAATCCAATGTCTGATCAGACAACAATGCAAAATTATCAGTGAGTTGTTCTCTCGCTCCTTTCCGAGAGGAACTTGTAAAAGATTCAATATAAATGTAAAATCCCCTTTCCTTTAAAGTCCTTTAAAGGAAAAGGGATTTAACACCTCTCCACTTTCTAATGCAAAAATTTATCACTACCATGAAATGAAGCTTAAGATCCTCACACATATATCTTCTTTACTCTATTTTTTGTGGTTATTTTTGTGGTTATGAGTAGCTTCAATACAATGATACCATCTATTCATATAATGCTCAATGGTACGAGGTAACAAGCTTAAACATAATGGTAGATGGTAGTAAGCACCATGATATAGATGATATAGCTAGAGAATGATGAGTAACACGTTTGTGAAAGTTAAAAAAAAATTATCTTCACATCTTAACAAGGACCCATTTGAAGATTAAATTTCCAATAGACTTTAAAAGTAACTGGTGTATAAATGTCTCTTTATGCAACACCAGCATATGATTGTTCAAAGAGATTAAATGAATCTTTACAAAGCCTCAACATTCAATGGGCACGACTTTATAAAGTGTTTGTTAGCAATATTTTCAACTCATCTGATTATGAAAAATTATAAGGCATCATCTTTGAAACAAACTATTTATTAAGTGATACTTGAGTTGTATACACTTCATTTAAGGGGAAAAGATGACATTCTTTGCCAAGTGAATACAAGTTACCTGCCACATAATAGAGAAAAATTTCTTGTAGGTTTATTTCTAAAAAGCTTTTTGGCCACATCATCTTCATATTGATTTTGGTGACAGATTCAATGATTATTATTAATGGCGCAACTATCTTGTAGAAGAATTGTTCAAAATCTAATCTGCATACTCATTGCATAGAATTTAATAGGTATTACAACATTTTACAGATAAACCCCTAGCCTTTTTCAATATTATCATTTTACCAATAGGACCCTAAATAAGGTCCAATTCTCAACGCTCTCTCTCAAAATGGGCAAAAGATATACACTAAGCCCATCTTATTACATAACCTAGAAAACTCTAATGAACTAAGTCCTTTAGTGAGGCAGTCAACCGCTTGCTCTCCAGTGTCTACATGACTTGCCTCCAATAGCCTGTTAGTCAACTTTTCCTTGATGAAAAATCTATCAAACTTTACATGTTCGGTTCTATTGTGTTGCACTGGGTTGTTGGCAATGTTGATCCAAGACTTGTTGTCGCCCCATAACTTCATTTGAGTTCCTTGGTCCACCTTGAGCTCAACCAACAAGGCTCTCAGCCACGTCATCTCGGCAACTCCTAAGGCCACGACCTTGTACTCTGCCTCTGTTGTTGACCTCGCTACAACAGATTGTTTCTTGTTCTTCCAAGAAACCAAATTGCCTCCTAAGAATATGCCATATCCTAAGATGGATCTTCTGGCATCTGCACAACTTACCCAGTTAACATCACAAAAGACCTCAATGTCTACAGGCTCATTCTTCATGAAAATCAACTCATTCCTTTATGCACTCTTCAAGTGCCTCAGAATCTAGGTAACTGCAATCATATGACCCTTCCTTGGATCATGCACGTAGCAACTTACTGCAAAAGAGATGTTGGGTCGAGTGTGATGCAGATTGATCACACAACCCACAAATCTTTGGTACCTCTTACGATCAACCGATTCCCCTCTCTGTACTCAGCTTCGCTTTCTGGTCAACTGAAGAAACTATAGGTTTGCACCCCAGCATGTCTATTTACGTCAGAAGATCTAGTACATACTTTCTCTGGAACAAGACTATCCTTTTAGGTCCATGAGTCAATTCAATCCCAAAAAAGTATCTGAGTTGTCAAAGATCCTTCACCTCAAATTCATTGCCTAATCTTATATTTAGTTGACAATCTCTATCTCATCATCACCGGTGACAATGATGTCATCAACATATACAGTAAGTATTTGTGGTGCGACCTTCATGTTGTTGAAAGAACAATGTATGACATGCATTGATCTGCTGATATCACATGCGTACCCGTCTTTTTAAACTTGTCAAACCAGGCTCGAGAAGACTGCTTCAAGCTATTGAGTGACTTCCTGAGCCTATGCATCTCGCCCAATGTCTATATTGTATCGAATCCCAGTGGATCTCTATATATACCTTCTCAGTAACTCACAATGAATAAATAAATTCACATTGAGTTGGTGTAACCTCCACCCACCGTTCACTGCAAAAGAAACAAGTGTCATTGTTGGCTCCTCTTTGCTACCGATGCAAAGTCTTCATCACAATCAATATCATATGTGACTGTACCCTTTCATCGAAAGTCGTGTTCTGTACCACTCCACCTTTCTTTCTGGAGTTCGTTTTACTGTGAAGATTCACTTTGCATCTAACTGTCTTTTTCCCATTCGGTAGTGGCACTATCTTTCCATGTTAAATTTTTTTATCGAAACTCTAAGCTCTTAATGCATAGCCGCTTTCCACTTAGAATCCTCCTTAGTAACCTGTCAACACTTGGGTATAGAGATAGTGTCCAACAATGCAATGAATGCTACATGTAAAAGTGATATGTTGAAATATAAAAAAAAGATAGCAGTGTCAAGTTCCCACCTAAAACAATCGAGAGGATGTTTCACATTACTACGGGAAATTCTTCTTAAAATTATGGTGGTTAGGAGAAGGAATTATATCACCTGGTAGTTTGGAGTTGAAGGTGGATGATGTAGGTGTCTCAAGGGTTAGAGAAAATCGGAACACGAGACTAGCTGGCACAAGCAGCACTACAGGCACCATTCCCTCATTTTGCTTCTTTTTTTGTCGGTGTGTACCCTTCCCTCATTTTGCTACCACGTGCATGCACCCTTCCCTCATTTTGCTTCCTTTTTTGCGTATACACCCTTAGCTCACATTCATCCTAAATCTCACCACCTCTAGTTTCCCTCTCCTTTTCTGATTCCTCCCACATCATAAGACAATACATTGCTACCACGTGTATCACTCCCTCACCATTGCTATTCACCCCATCTTGTCTCATATCTCCAGTATTTGGCGAGTCAACAAAGGGTGAGGTCATCTCTTGGATGTAGCAAGGTTCAATCTCTTTAAAAGACACATGCTCACAAACAATCTCTTCTCTATTGGGTTCCAGCAGACATATTCCTTCTAGGTAATAGAAAAACCTACAAACACATTTCATAACATTGGGATCCAGCTTTTCCACCGATGGTTTGTTATCCTACACAAAACATACACATCCAAACACTTTCAAAAGGGAGGATCCCGCTATTATCTCTTTTCAATATCTGTCAATGAGACTTCCAATCTAACACCCTCGATGGCATCCTCTTGATCAATAGAGCAGCTGTCAAAACTACTTGCCCCCATAAGTAATTTGAAATATTCATTGCGATCATTATGCTTAAGAAACCTCTAAATGCCTATTCTTCCTACATATTGTTTGATGTTATATCCCATGAGCTGAAAAGTATTCATCAAATGTTTTGTTACTATACCGTCTCATTATCAGACCTCAATACATTCACTATTGCACCATATTGAGTATGGATTGCCTTGTGAAAGTTTTCAAAGCAAACAAACAAATTAACCTTATTTTTCATCAAATATAACCAAGTAACACAAGAAAAAAAATCAACAAAATTCACAAAATATTGATAACCATTCATGCAACTTATAAAACAAGGTCCCCAAACATCAAAATGATCAAGTAAAAAACACCAAAACTCCTATTCCCAGAATTAATATAAGAGCTCCTATTAAGCTTGCCAAACTCACAAGCACACAAATAAGCTTTTATTTATTTGTCTTCTCATACAAAGGACACATGCGACTCAATAAACTAAAACAAGAGTGTCTGATGCATCTGTGATGTAGCGACAACACATCCTCCACACTATTCTCAGATGCTTCTACTACATCACTCTCTACCATTGATATTAATGTTGAGTCCATCCTCTCCCGATCCAAGTACCAAAGTCCAAGTGTCAGATCAGTCCCTTTCTCTTAGAAGATTACTCTAGATATATTAAAGGAAGCAACACATGTTAGTTAGAGAATAAAGACACTAATAGATAAAAGATTCACAAGAAAATGAGCATGCAAAATATTGGACAATGTCATAATTGGTACCTCTCACTATACCCTTACCAACTATAGGCTGTGATGTGCCATCAATAGTCTGGATGCTCTTCGGTACTGCTAGAGGTATATAGGAAGAAAACTCTATAGACTTTCCAGCTCGTTCAATTGCGACCTTATAGCGAGAGTTCATGCCACGATCCGCTGGTTGCCTTCCCAACAAGCCAAAATCCCTCTGTTGCCTTCTCAACAAGCCGCGGTCCTTTCGTTATCTTCCCAGTGACCTACAATCACGTCGTCTCCTTCCCAGTGAGTCGTGATCGTGAAGTTGCCTTCCAAAAAAACCAAAATCCTATTGTTGCCTCCTAGTTAGCATGGTTGTGTTGTGAAGAAGAAAAGAATGAGACGGCTAGAAAACTATGATACCGGGTAGAAGAATTGTTCAAAACCTAATATGTACATTCATAACATAGACTTATAGGGTATTGCAATGTTTTACAAATAAATATCTAGACCTCTTCAATATTAACTTTTTATCAATAGGACCCTAAATAAGGTTCAATTCTCAACATATCTTCTGTCTTTTGTGGTTGTGAAAATTAACTGATTGCAGTGCCACCTAAGGAGTGGATGGACAAAGTAGTATTCTACCATGTATCCAAGTCTCCACCTAAATTAACATCAAAATATCCTACAGTTTCAAATTATCACTTCAAAAATTTAATG